ATTACAGAAAAGAAAAGGCCACACATCACAAAAATAGCAATATACAACACACAAAATTCTAAATGGACTTTGGGTATCTTTTACTGTTTACCTCTGTAAGCTATCAAATTTTGAACCGTCTACTCTATGTGGCAATGTTGCACATGCCAAGCTAAAATAATGTTAACAGTAATGGTATAAAGCCATCTGAATAGAAAGAAACCAGAGTCATAAACATGCTATACCCTACTGTGATACATATATAGAAAAGATGCATTTTCTTGCCATTTGAAACTCACAACTATGAGAGTTAAAGAAGTCAGCTCAAGTTAAAAAAACAAAACCAAAACAAGAACCATGCAGAATTAACACTCAACTCTATACAGATCAGTGGCCAAAAGAGAAATCTTGGAAATTAGTATGTCAATACTATCAATTTTTAGACTCTAACTTAAAGACCTGCACAAGTGATATGTTTTAGTGAGAAAAACATTTTCATTTTAGAGAAAGGTAATGACAGTAATTATAAAACAATGTTCCCCAAAGCAAAAATTTTATCTTTTCAGACCAAAAGCAACAGAGAATTGAGAATTACAATCTGATCTTCCAAGGTATAGTTCCTGTCAGCTGCTGTATAACAGCAAATCAAACTAAATAAGTACATCAACTGAAAAAAGTACTCAATTACTTTTGTAAACAAAACTAGGCAGGAAAAATATTAGTATGAATCAAGCTATGAGTGGAATTATAAAGAATAACCTAAGCAGTGCCATATAAATAACTATTTTAAAGCACAGATTACTATAAAATCAAAAGTGATGACTTAAGATCTCAAGTTATTAGGATCCTGCTTTTCTATGTTAATTAAAAACTGCTGCTGCAAGCCTCTATTTAAATGCAATCAGAAAATCTATACAAGATTTCTTCTATCTTGTGGCTTCTAAAGTTACTTCAATCATGAGAAACACAAGCTTCTGTAACAATGTATTCCAACAATCAGTTACGGTTGTTTTGAACTGACTGATCACACAAACTGGGATGTAGAATAGCACATTTGCTATTGGCTGATTGTTGCAACACAAAAATGCATACATGAAATAGTTAAACACAGCACACAGTATTACACCAAAATGTTTTTCTCATTTCAAGTTTATTAAAACTTTAGCAGTACAAATTATCCAGGTTGCAGATTATCAAAAGATCAACTCAATAAAGTCCACATTTAAAAAAAAAAAAAAGGACAAACATAAAACCCAAAAACAGTGAAAAGAAGAAAACAACATAAAGGAGATTCATCAGCAAGTCTCTAAAACTTAAAATTTGAGCAGAATGGAAATAAGAAATTTACACAACTCATCCACTTTTGTCTTCATCTGTTCCAGGGCTTGACTCATGATCAAATTTTTTATTTTTATCATGTATGTGGTCATTTTCCTGACCCTTTGATTTTTGGTTTTCTTTTTCCACAGAGGATCTGGTCTTCTCATCCTCCTTATTTTTCAATGTGGAGAACTTTAATTCATTGTCCTGACTACTTTGTTTTATTTTTGAGAATGGACTTTGATCTCTATCAGACTTTTTTTCCCTATTATTTGAGCTACTATGATCACGATTTTTAGAGTACATTCTCTTCTCACCCTCAGAATTTTCTTTTCTGTGTGAACTCTTACTTTCTTGGTTTCTGTATTTTTCTTTGTTTCTGCTTTGACTTTCTTCTCTCTCTGAGCTCCGTGAATCTCTCCTTCTCCTTCTCCTATCTTTACTTCTTGATCTTCCTGGTGTTGCTCTTCTCTCTCGGCTTCGTGACCTTCCTCTTCTCCTGTACTCCTGTTCTCTGTATCTATGGTACTCCTTGCTTCTGCTGCGATCACGGTCATGGCTTCTAGATCGCATTCTTCTGCTCCTGTCCCTACTTCTGCTTCGTTCCCTTGTTCTACTATTGTAACTGTGTTTGCCTTTAGTTATATCACGTTCTCTACTTCTAGACTGTGCACGTCTATCCTTTTCCTTACTTTTATTATGATCATGCTCATTACTTTTTGATTCTAACTGTTTAGACTTCTCTTTACTTCTACTCCTTTCTTGATCTTTTCCTTTAGAATCAGACTTTTCTTTTTCTTTAACAATCTCATGATCCCTTTCTTTACTCCTTGACCTCACCCTCTTTTCTTCATGTCTATTATGCTTTGTATCTCTTTCTTTGCTCTTTGATTGCTCTTTGCTCTTACTCCTACTTTTAGATTTGGCCCTTTTCTTCACTTTGTTTTTATTATACTTCTCATCTTTTTCTGAGTTTCTTCTGATGTCTCTCTCTTTGCTGTTAGATTTGTGGTCTTTAACTTTCTTTTCCTTTTCATTTTTTCTGTTTGGACTCTCAGACACATGCCTGTGATCAGTTACTTTTTTCTCTTTTACTCTAACTGGACTTCTTTGATTTTCTTTTATTTCATTTAACTCACTCCTAAAAAAAAAAAAAAAGGAGAAAAAAGCTTTTTGGAAATTTTATTAGAAAAAGGATGATGTCCATTAGTAGCTGAAATCTATATGTTTTTTAAATATTCAGAAACAAGTGAAATGAGTATAAATAGAACAACTTTATGTACAAAAGTAAAAACAAAAATACGTGTCACTACATTTGAAATAATACAGGTAAATCTTACTTATCCCCTTTGATCCATCTTTCACCACTTGATACCCTCATTCTTTGTGCTCTCTGCATCTCTTGCCTCCAATGTGGAGGAGTCTCACTACGTCTGAAACGATCCCTTGATCTGGATCTAGAAGGAGTTCGGTAACGCTTAAAAGAATAAAATGGGAAAAACATTAGCCTCCTGAAAATATAAAAGCATTACAATCATAGCTGTAAGCTTATACATTTCTAGGTTCAAATAAAATGTCTGATATTTCTATAACCTCTTAAAATAAATAAAATTTCCTAATTTTCAGGTATGAAACCAGTGAGGCAAAAATACTTTACTCAGTCATACTATAAATTCCAAATAAAAAGCATTAACCACACAATCTCTAGCCACCCATGTCCTCTTCACAGAACTGTCCTATTTAAGTGATGCTACTAGAGCATAACAGATACAGGCACCCTTACAAGTTGCCAAGTTTCAATTTGGAAATATGTATTCTTGATGTTCCAAAGCAAATATCCCATATTAGGAGAAAAACTGAATAAATGCATAATGTTAAAAAATGCATAATGTTCATCCATTCAGCCAATATTTACTCAGCCCCTGGAATGGCCAACCATTCTACCATGTGTTGCAGCAGTATCAGTGAGCCAAGACGTATCTCAATTTTGCTCTTTTGGAACTTGAATTCTACAAGGCTAGGAGAACCCTCAGATATATAATCACAGATATTCATGAACACAAATCAGTTACAATTACAATCAGTGTAAAAGAAGTACAAGGTGCTCAGAGAATACATTACAGAGATCCAGCCTAGTACAGGAAGTTGAACGATAACTAAAAGCTAACAACTAACAAACATGTATGAAGAGTTACACAGGCAAAGGTAAGGAAAAGAAGGTAGAAGTGTGAGGAAGGATGGGTAAGGAAGAATAAGTGAAGTGTAAGAAATATCTTATTTGAAGGCCCCGAGACAGGAAAAAACATTGCAATTTTTAGACATGACCACAAGATAGATGAGTATGGCTACAGATAAAAGGTGCCAGGGAAAGTAATACTAGATATACTGATGAGGTAAGCAAGGCCTAGATTTTGTAAGGTCTCATAGGCCATGATAACAATTTTGGATTTATCCTGTAATTGATAGCAAAGGAGTGACATTTTCATTTTAAGATGACTATTCTCATCTGGCTCTGAGCTTAGCATCTGCTCTGCCCCCCACTCATGCTCTTTTTCTGTCAAATGAATAAATGAATCTTAAAAAAAAAAAAAATCACCATTCTGGATGCTGTTTGGAGAAGAAATCCTATCAGTGATTCTCAAAATGTAGTCTAGGGATCCCAAGACTCAGGGGATCTGTGAAGTCAAAACTATTTTCATTGTACCGTATTATTTGCCTTTTTCACTTTATTATTGTACAGTAGAGTCTTTCAGACTGCATGATGTTTTAGTATTTTTGCTTTCATAGCTAACTGAATGTGTGCTTATATATTCTTGTATCTTAAATAGTTCTTGGTTTTAATTTCTAAAACTATAAAGAGCGATCGATATAATCCAAAGCTCTTTTGGATCCTCAATAATTTTTAAGAGTATAAAGAGATTCTGGGGCACCTGGGGGGCTCAGCCAAGCATCCTACTCTTGATTTCAACTCAGATCTTGATATCAAGGTTGTGAGTTCAAGCCCCGCATTTAAAAAGAAAAAAAAAAAAGTGTGAGAGTATAAAGAGAGATTTAAGACAAAAAAGTTCGAGAACTGCCGTGAGAACAGTTAAAAGGCCATTGATAGTTCAGAGAACATACAAAGGTAAATTGAAGTAAGGTGGTGGGAGTGGAACTTGAGAAGTAGATGGATTTCAAAGTATTTAGAAGGTTGAAATGACAGGATTTGGTGTTGGATAAGATATGCAAGTTAGGAAAGGAGAGAAATAAAGTGATTCTTAGGCTTTAAGTAACTGCACAGGTGGTGGTGTCTTATCCGTAAAAGCAGGAACCTAAAGGAGGATCAGGTCTGAAGAGGAAGTGGTTATGTTCGACATTATATACACGGAGTTTGAGGTGTCTGTTAAGCAACTAACTGGTTGTCAACTAAGTCTTGGCACCAGAAAAGCAAATGAGCATTTGATATTTATCAACACACAGGTAAGCCACTGAAGCTGTGGGAGTGATCAGACTGCTGAAGGACCATATGCAGAGTGAGAAGTGTTGGAACCCTGAGGTACTATTATATTAAAGGCCAGGTAAGAGTGTGAACTGGCAATAGCCATTCAAAATAGACTGGCCAGAGACAGAAAGAAAATAGGACAGAAGCAAGTGGAAAGAGTATTACAAGGAGGCAATTAACACAAAGACTGAAAGGAGCCACTGGACTCTTTTTTTTTTTTTTTAATATGAAATGCTTCTCGAATTTGCATGTCATCCTTGTGCAGGGGCCATGCTAATCTTCTCTGTATCATTCCAATTTCAGTATATGTGTGGCCAAAGCGAGCACGGACCCAATGATTTTGTGACATGTAGCAAACGATAGAGCAAGTGCTGTTTTTAGCAGAACAGTAGAAGACGAAATGAAATGGTTTAGAAATGAGTATGAAGTAAAGAAATAATATACCAAGTATAGCCACATTTCTAAAAAGTTTGAAAACACAAGAAGATATTCTGATGGGGAGAATCCAGTAGAGATAAAGAGGATAAAATACAGAACAGGTTTAATTTTTATTAATTTTTAGCAAGATTAGAGATATAGTGGTCAGGAATTAACAAGGAGGCACAAGAAAGACAATAATCTCATTTTACACCATGTACATTTAAAATATATTAACATCCTATGTATTTTCAGTTTTGAAGTACCAACACAAAGAAGTTACTATAAAGAGAACATATAATTCAATACCCATATCTACTCTAAATTTTAGTTACTTATGTATAAAACAATATTTAAGAAACACTCTAAAATTATTTACAATAAATACAGTATTATTAAGATTTCTAGGAAAAGAATCACCTACCCTTGGTCCTCTTCCTTTAATTTTCCTGCCAGACCTAGTAACTAAAAGTCGCCTCTGGTATGAAGCAGGCTGAGAGTTAGGTGGATTACTAGAAGGAAGCAAAGGGAAAATTAAAACAAACATACACACACACTCATCAAAAAAAATGAAATTTTCCATTTGTAACAATGGAATTAGATTATGCTAAATGAAATAAGTCAGTCAGAGAAAGATAAGAGACAATTACATGATACCACTCATGCGTGGAAGTTAAGAAACAAGACAGATGACCATAGGGGAGGAGAGAGAAGAATAAAATCACATCAAATCAGAGAGGGAGACAAAGCATGAGGGTTGCTGGAGGGATGGGGCAACTGGATGATGGAGATTAAGGAGGGCGTTGATGTCATGAACACTGGGTGTTGTATGCAAATGATGAATCAGTAGACTCTACTTCTGAAACTAATAAAATATACTATATAGTAATGAATTAAATTTAAATTAAAACAACTTCATAAAAACAAATCTGGAGAATACAGCTTTACTGATCTAAACTAATAAATTTAAGGCTTATATATAATCAGTAGTTTTCAATGTTATCAACTCCTAGTAGTATCTGGGAAAGTATAGGAGCATTTTTCAACTGTTAATGACTAGCAAGTGCTACTGGTACTTAGAACCATGAGTTAGGAATGCTAAAATCTTGTTATGCATGAGATTGAAGAACTATTCTGCCCCCAAATGCCAGCTGTGTGCTGAGAAACAGTTAAATAACCATTTTTAAGATGAAATTAACTTGACAGTGTTAAGGAAAATCAGCATAGAAGGGCTCATGTAGCTCAGCATAGGCTGTATGCCACTAAGAGAATAATTTTAAAACTAGCTTATTCCAGGGCACCTTGGTGGCTCAGTAGGGTTGAGCCTCTGACTCTTGATTTCAGCTCAGGTCATGATCTTAGGGTCCTGGGATCAACCCCTTGTCAGGCTCTGTGCTCCAAGGGGAATCTGCTTGAGATTCTCTCTCTCTGCCCCTCCCCCTGCTTGCACAACACTTTCTCTAAAATAAATAAAATCTTTAAAGAACAAAACAAAAAACCTGTATCATATTCCAAAGTATCTTATAATCCTATAGCCAACTGTTCACTGTTAAAACAACTACAGGAAAGAGTAATTAATGATAATAAAGTAGACACAAACAGGTGTGAATTAGCAAAAACATTTATATCCTGGTTTACACCAAAAGGGGAAAGTTTTCAAAAAAATAACCAGTTAATATTTAATTAGCACAAACAATATCCATGTAAATTATGTTTGAAAAGTTCATTCTAAAGTAGTTCAAACATTTTCTCTGTAATATTTATTTCCTTAAAAATATCCTTTCCTAATACTTGAGGAAAAATGAACTCAATCCAATCCATTGATATTACCCCACAATTCAAGTAACTATTTTTTTTTAAAACTAAGACTTATTTTTATATTTTTACTGTATTGTGAAAGTATAGGGGAGATACTCAGAATTTTATTACTTTTATAACAATACATTTTAAACATAAATAAGAAAATGACCTCAAAATTTTTTTGTTTTTGGACATAATTATTAAAATGATTTATAAAGAACCAATAGCCGGGGCGCCTGGGTGGCGCAGTGGGTTAAAGCCTCTGCCAGGGTCCTGGGATCGAGCCCCGCATCGGGCTTCTCTGCTCCCGCAAGCAAGGAGCCTGCTTCTCCCTCTCTCTCTGCCTGCCTCTCTGCCTACCGATCTCTCTCTATTAAATAAATAAATAAAATATATTTTTTTAAAGATTTTATTTATTTATTTGACAGAGATCACAAGTAGGCAGAGAGGCAGGCAGAGAGAGAGGGAGAAGCAGGCTCCTTGCTTGCGGGAGCAGAGAAGCCCGATGCGGGGCTCGATCCCAGGACCCTGGGATCATGACCTGAGCCGAAGGCAGAGGCTTTAACCCACTGCGCCACCCAGGCGCCCCAATAAATAAAATCTTAAAAAAAAAAAAGAACCAATAGCCTACTAATACTAATTATGTGAATTTATGTAGAAAAATTTTCGAAGACCTTGAACACAGTATCAATTTTCATAACAATACTATGAATTAGGCATTTTTGAAAAATAGCACTTTTGCTCTATTAGATAACTGAAAAATAAGGGTTTTTAAAGTTTTAAGTTTAAACTTTTAAACCTAAAAGTTTAATATATACAGATTACACAGTAAGACAGCTTGTTTTAAATGGAATTGGTCTGAAATGCCACAACACATCTTTTTGCAGTGCTTATTTTTCAAAAAAGTAACTTTAACTCAAATCTGTTTGAATTAAGTCAGTGTATCTTTTTAGCTATGTAGTTAAGAAAAAGGAGCTTTGCTAACATTATCCTATTAAAAAAAAAGATTTCAGTCGTAGGACAAGGTCACCAATTAAATCTTGCTTAAAGACTTAAAAAAAAAAGTTCTATTTTAAAGAGTGTAGGGCACTCTACAAGATAGAGACGTTAACATACCACTCTCTCTCTCTCTCTCTTTCTCTGTTTTTCCTTTCTTTTTCATCAGCTTTAGGAGGGCTTTTTCTCATCAGGAATCTATTTTCAGGTATAGGAGGGATCTCTTCTGGACGGACAGTAGACTGGGGTTGTGCTTCAAGATTTTCAGTCTCACTTTCACTAGATGCACTTAACAGAAAACATAAAAAAAAAATTCCACTTGGTTATTATGTGGCTACCCCAACCAACTGTTGCTATTTCTTTCCTTTGTAAGATGTCACAATATATGAGCCATCCTGCCCACCCCCTTCAAGGATGTGATAACATACAGAAAATCCTCTTTCATTCTGACAAACCAGCCAACCAACCCCAAACCAAAACCAATCATTTCCATGATCACATTCTCAGAAAGTATTTTCCAATTAAATGGATCTAAAATATGAACTCCATAGGCAATGTACTCTGATAAATTTAAAATATTTAAAAATGTAGGCAAAGAAATTAGTTGCTTTAAAGGCAATAGGCATGAAGTTCTAGTACAAAGATTATTTCAGACAAAACAGAAAAGTAAATATACTGACAATATTTACTTTTACCCTTGTACTTTCATAGCAACAAAGGGAATAAAGGACAAAAAAAAAAGCGAGAGAGACTGCTATAAAAAATAAGGAAAACAGTAGCTGGTTTCCTATAACTCTCATTAATCCTATAAATTCCTTCTATGAAACATAAACCTATTAAACCAAAAGCATCATTTCACTGAGTTCAGACAAAAAGAATTGAAAGGCTTTGTTGAAAATGGAAATGAAATGTACCTAAATTTAATCTATAGACTACAGAAACAAAATGGTCTTATACTTATTGATAGGAAATATTTCTCACTATTTTAATACTGCCATACAGTTGATCCAAAATCCCAAAAGATTTACTTATAAACTAAAGGGAATTAGGATATAAAGCTAGTACTATAAAAGAATTTAAAATTAAGACCTTTTCTTGGTTTTCTTTCGCTTCTTCTTTTCTTTCTTGTGTTTTCGGGAATTTTTCCTATGTTTCTTTTTTCTTTTTTTTGATTTCTCTTCAGAAGCACTTTCTGAGTCAGAAGTATCAGAAGAGGACTGAGAATCACTTGAGCTATCTGAGTCACTGGATGAGGAGGAAGATGATGATGACGACTTGTGTCTTTTCTTTTCTTCTTTCCTAGCTTTAATAAGAAACAAAAAAGTGTTTTGGTCAGGACTTTTTAGATAAACTTTGTAAGTGGAAATTTAGGTTTGCAGCAGATTCTCACTAAGTCCAGTATTTAACACTTGCTCATCCAGCTATTTGAACTGAGGGGTATAAGGGAAGGAGTCAAGACTTAGGATCAGAATCCAGATCTCTGAATTAATTGATCAAAGTTGTATCTATTATGCCAAAGAATTCCGAAAAGTAACAGGTAAGTCTAAAGAACTAAGCTGATTTTAGGAAACATTTAAATGACAGTTTCTAAGAAGGAGAGAATTTTAAGAGTCCCAGATCAAATCTTCTTGCGGTTTTTGACTTTTTCTATTATCAAGAATAAAGGGAGAACTGTGGGAGAGAAGTAACACACATACACAATACTCTGCATGAATGTGGAAAATAAGAAACATGACTGGCACGGGCACTGGCTTGTTTCAATACCTGAGCATTCCTCTAATGATTACAAATTTAGCTTACTTGAAGAGCAGAATTACCAAAGAGGGCAATCATTTGCTAATGGTTAATAACTATGTTACAAAACTACTCTACAAAAAGTAATTTCAAACTGATATTTTATTTTGTGTTAAGTAGGTAATAATTTTTAAAGGGATCCCAAAACTCAAATGCTTTAAGGACTAGGCAACTAATATATATAAGTGAAATTAACCAGGTATGATACAACAGGAACTGGGGAAAGATAAGATGAACTGAATGGAGCCTGACTCATATAAAGGTATTCAAAATCAAACTATGGTGGAGTTAAAGTGAAATCAAGCCAAAGATGGGACACT